GAAAAGATATCCATGTGCAAGCTCAGGATTGTGATTAAAAAAAACCTGTTCTGATGTATTTTTATATCATTTCTTTCTATCATGTTGAATAACATATTTTTTTAAAAATTGTGAGTTTGAGTCTATTGCTAACGAATGTAACTTTAAATATGATACCTAAAGAACTGTGCCTCAGATTGACGACTGGAATTACATTGAAGCCATTTGGCTTGTTGCACATTTCTTCATTTATTGACATTTTTACTCCAATAGCTGGTGTCTGCGAGTGAAGATTCTTTTGTCAGGGTTTGGGAGGTGAAGAAAGACTCTGAATCTTATCCAAAGGTATGCAGTCTCTTTGAGCATGTTGTCTTTGAGTTTCTGAATTTTTCACCCCTTTAAAAAACATTATTAGTTTGACATCAACACTTCATTGTTCTTGTCCATGTCCATTTTTTACTTTTCAGCCAGTATTTTTCGACAATATATTCAGATATATTATTGCATTGTTAGTCCCCGTTCGGACACAGTTCGAAAACGGGGACTTATGTTTTGATCTCTGTGTGTGCGTGCATGCGTGCGGACCTGTATTTTAGAAATGCCTGGACCTATCACAATCAAACTTCACACATACATCATACATGATATTATACATATGCACGTCAATTTGTTTCACGATTTGATTCAAGATAGCCGAATGGCGGCCATTTTTGTGCTAAAAATCATCAAAATCAAGCATTTTTCGGCTGTTTACAGATGGATTTTTGTTTAAAATTGGTATATACGTTAGACATTATAGGACCTTGATACACATCAATTTGTTTTTCAGATAAGATTCAAAATAGCCGACTGGCGGCCATTTTGTTTTAATATATATGGTTCTTGTGCCATATCTCTGACTTGCTTTGACTGATTATGTTAAAATTTTAAATATTCATTATAGATCATGTCATAGATATACAAATATATTGGTTTGACGATTCTATTATTTTGTGCTAAAAATTCATAAAAATCAAGCATTTCCTAGCTGTTTATAGATGGATTTTGTTCAAACTTGGTATATACATTAGACATTATGGGACCTTGATGCAAATAATTTTGTTTTTCAGATTAGATTCAATCTATATGTCTGACTTGCTTTCACTAACTATGTTCAAATTTTAAATATTCATTATACATCATGTCATAGATAGACAGATATATTGGTTTGACGATCCTGTTCAAAATGGCCGAATGGGGGTTATTTTTGTGCTAAAAAATCATAAAATATCAAGCGTTTCTGACATTTATGGATGGATTTCGTTCAAACTTGGTACATATATTAGACATTACTAGTTCCTGATTCACATCATTTTAATTTTCAGATCATATTCAAAATGGCTGTCTGGCGGCCATTTTGTTTTAAAGAATGGGTTTCTAGACCCATCAATCTGATTAAAATCTGATGTAGTGTACGGGCTTTAATTACTTTGGCTATAAACTTATTTTAATTTTATTTTTGATTACTTTTGTTATTAATGCGTTTTTATTTTGTGATTTTTTTAATTCCGTCCTACATACATCTGATCCGACACCTATGCAAGTCCCGTTCAAATCTCGCGTAAGTAACAGCCAATCACAGCCCCCCCATTTAGATTCACAGTCAATTCGTCCCAATTCACTTTCGTCCAAACACATTCGTCCCACGAGTCGATTCGTACCAATTCACATTCGTCCAGTTTTTAGTCAGCATTACGATCTTGAACAGGGTCAATTTCTATGCCAACTGTTACTGACACGCTAACTAATAACTCCATGTTGCGTGAACGGTGTATTTGTATTTATTAACTAATAACTTGTATGTTGAATGTCCGGTGTATTTGTATTTATTAACTAATAACTCTACGTTGCACGTAAGGTGTATTTGTATTTATTAACTAATAACTCTACGTTGCACGTAAGGTGTATTTGTATTTATTAACTAATAACTCCACGTTGCACGTAAGGTGTATTTGTATTTATTGACTAATAACTTGTACGGTGTATTTGTATTTATTAACTAATAACTCAGCGTTGTACGTAAGGTGTATTTGTATATAACGTTGGCAAAAATAAAATGGCGCAATGAACAATTACGCATGCCAGTACATGACGTGTACGTGAACAGTTCGTTGTTTGGATGTGTTTGTGCTTATTTGGCGAGTTAGTAGTGGGCTGACGAATGGACTTTGGGACGAATCGACTTTGGGACGAATCGACTTTGGGACGAATCAACTTGGGACGAATCGACCGCCCCCCCCCCCCCATTTATACTGGCTGTTGGTTGCTTACTTTTCAGTGTAGCAATACTCTACGGGCAGTCTTTCTGTACATTATATTTTGCCCACTTGAATAAACCATTAATAGAAAATTGCTAGTATATTTTTATTTACAAAAGAAATTCTACAGCATTTTACAATTTTTGTCATTACATTGAATATTTTTTCACTTCCAACAAATGTGTACTCTTCCAGATACATTTTCGCCAGCCAAGGTTCATTTATTCTGTCATCGTTTCAATTTTACATCAAACACTGAGCATAATTATCTAGAATGGAAGCAAAAAAATAAGTAAATCGTAATGATTAGAACACTGTAAACAGCTATAGTAAACAATGCAAATTTTAAATTGTATAACGGTAACCGGCCCACGGCATCGACGCAGAAAATTGGAGCAAAAAAATATTTCCTGATCAATTGCGATGTGTTCCAAATAAAAAATATTTTATTCCAATCCAAATCAGCTCAATTACTTTAATAAAGAGTTATTGTATAATGTACAAAATGTTGATACAATTTGATGAATATTTACAGCTACGGCTTCAATACCGTAGACGATTTTGGCCCGGTCGTCAAAAAAACATCACCCGTCTCCAGGGCAAGTGACTGGAAAAAGACACCAATGTTCGGTCGAATCTCACTCCCAGAATAACTACGCAAAATAACGATCTAAACTCGAACCATTCGAGCCACAATATAAACATAAAAATGACTTTCATTGCATTTGACAATGATAAACTTACCGAAAAGCCATGTTTTTCTCGGTCGCTAACGTCGGTATAATCCGCCATTTTATTTTAGTGTGTTTGCCACCTCACTCTGCCCGGTGACGTCATCATGTGCACTATAGAAGGAGGTCTGTGAGTCGTTGACTAAAATCGTCGATAGTGGGTCTCGTTGAAATCTCGTTACATAGGCATCGGGTCAGATGTATGTAGGGCGGAATTAAAAAAAAATCACAAAATCAAAATCAAAATAAAATAATAAAATAAAAACGCATTAATAACAAAAGTAATAAAAAATAAAGATAAAATAATTAAAGCCCGTACACTACATCAGATTTTAATCAGATTGCAGACCCATATGTCTTACTTGTTTTTACTGATTATGTTCAAATTTTTAATATTCATTATACATCATGTCATAGATAGACAGATATATTGGTTTGACGATCCTTTTCAAAAAGGCCAAATGGTGGCTATTTTTGTGCTAAAAAAATCCTCAAATATTAAGCATTTCTTGCATTTATGGATGGATTTTGTTCAAACTTATCACATACCTTAGACATTACAGGTTCCTGATGCATGTCATTTTATTTTTCAGATTGGATTCAAAATGGCTGACTGGCTGCCATTTTGTTTTAATGATTGGGCTTCTAGAGTCATATCTCTTAAATGCTTTGACTGATCATATTCAAATTTTACATATTTGTTATAAATCATGTTATATATACATGTATATATACATGTATTCAAAATGGCTGATTTTGAATGCTGTTTCAGAGCAATATCTCTCAATATGGACAAGTACTTGTTCGACGATCAGATACAAATGTCAATCATTTTAATGTTAAAAAAATCATATTCCTGACATGGTTATATTCCAGCTATATTACTATAAACAAAACTATATATCTTAAATTTGATAACTAACGGGGACTGAGCCATGCGTATCCATTCATTCATCCATCCATTTGATAATTCATCTGGATTCCCAATGGACAATGTTGTGATAGTTACGCTATGTTTTGTTCCAGGTGGAAATGAAATTCTCAGACTGTATAACAGACGTTCAGCTCTGCGGTGCCAAGTTCACCAACAAGAATGGTAGATCATTTGGGCTTACGGGCTACGACCACAATGAAGTTGTTTGCTACTCTCAAAAGGCTTGACTACACTCACGACTACAAGAACCTTGAACGGGGACCACCTATGTGCATTTCTCTAGTGGCGTAAATCTGTATTTCTTCATTGTCACAATGTCTCCATACATGTAGGCTCAAGCTGTACTGGATAGTATTAATGATCAGACTGCTTGAACCACCAGCATTGTACGTTTAGCAAATGACCACTCATAAATGAAGTCCCTATAAAATAACACTTGTGACCATCAATTTGTATATGTGAACCGTTAAAGTAATTTTACTCAATGCTTTTTATGTGTAATTTCCCTCAACATTGCTACACTTCAATGTTAGAGTTTTTATGAAATGACAGAAGTATTTGTTAATACTGCTAAACTTTACTACCAGTGGTACCAACCGAGTAGTTACCCTATTTTGTTTGTTCAGTCTACAATGCTGTTTTTTAAAACAACCAAAGACAAAATAGTGTGTCTAGAGAATTGTTCAATACTGTCTCTCCTTTTCTCCTTTGGACAACTTTAAGCTTGTGTTAAGGTTTCATAGGGACTGACTGTTTTATAAGAGGGTATTCTGTACATTTATACATGTAGTGTTTCAGCTGCAATTTTTGTCAATTATAAAGTGCAATGCAAATATTGCCAATAGTTTTGAATCCAGTCAATCCCTGGTGGGTTTGTATCATTGTTTCTGAAAAGTCAACCATGTACTTCACACAGTCCAAAAGTGTGAAACTTAATTCTGACTTTTGGGAGATTATTTATTTACTTGTTCTCAGTATCATGTTTTGTGGCATTTGATGGATATGGTCAAATACCAAAATAAAGTAAAGTGATATCAAATACAATTCAAGAATGCAGCTTTTTATTAATATAAATATACATTTGAAGAATATATGAAACATTAAAATTTGAACACTCATGATCCAATGGATTCATAGAAATTTGCTTCTGGTCTGAATAACTGTGGCCCGCTTAAATTCGAAACGAGGGTTAAATCATCAATTATTTAGGCTACACTGCAGTCTTTACTTGGTGGTGATATTACACAGAAGGAATGCAACAGGGAGACTGAAACGTCCAAAACGTATAATATACAATTAGGTTTCAGAAATTGTTTTCAGATTGTGAAGTGTAAATATAATTTAAAGCTACATGTAAAAGATACCGAGCCAGCTCGATCAATAAACTGATCGGGAAAACCACCATCTTCATCTTTCAGAATAGTCATACTTAAGATCAAGTATGTTTCACAGAAATGCTCAAATATAAAGTGAAATTTTTAAGTTAATTAATTACAATTTTTTCGCACAAAATCTGACTTCATTTTAAATCTAAATCTGTTAGAATCAGAGTGTTTTTCACTGCACTCTAGCTACATGTATATCTTGTAAAACTGGAGTCAAAACAATAACTTTTTTTTTTTTCACATTCTCTGTATGTAATATACACATTTTGTTGTAGCATTAGGCAAGCTGAAAACTGCCAGTAAGGAGAATCTTAAAGATGTATGCAGATTAAAATATGGTAAATCTAAAAGTACTACAAATTGTTGAAATTTTGCAGAGTAATAAATAAATAACAAAGAGCAAAAAAAAAAAGTAGATGTACCCAATCTTGTTTCCATGGACACAATGACTGCCCCCCCCCCATAGCGTCAAGCCCTACTCTGATGATCATTTTGAATTAAAAATCCATCAGCATATATTGTACATAAAATTGAGGTTCATAATTCCAAAATTACTATTGCAAGGTTTTTCTTTGAACTGCCAAATGGCCAATGACGAGGAATAATTAGCAAAGTTTCATGTGTGCTATCTGGAAGTCAACGCATTAGGCAGTGGTGCTCACCTCAAAATATACAGCAGTTAATTTCATAAAACAAGTTGGCAGTGTGTTGGGAACTTTTCTCTTCTCTTCTTCAAAATTGGCACAATTTGTACACAAAAAAATATAACTGAAAAATCATCTGCAAAAATCAACACAAATACTGTGAACCAAGACAAAAGAAAAAAAACATTGAGTAAAATATATGTTATATGGTGAATACTATTACCCGGTAAATACATGTGTAAGTTGAAGCAATGCCAAGCACCACAGTGGAACAAGCACCATAATCGTATTAATTCTTTTGTAAGGTTAGAGGTGGGCATCAACAGATTTCAAATACTGTGTGCAGTAATTCACCACATTACACATTATAGAACTGCTTATTTTGAAAAATTTAAAAATTACCACAACGCATTCATATCCACATAGGATGTAGACATGTATGTGTCTATAAAATGTACCAAAGTTTAAATAAAATCTTGTTTCCATATATTCTCATTGCAAATTTTCGTTTATAAAAGGGGAAGGGAGAAAGGGCAGTGGAATGTTAATTGAGGAGAATACATTTGCTGTGTGTATGTTTCAATTTGGATTATATGTCATGGAAGTAAAGCTATAGAAAATGTCAAATCCCTATGCGTTGACTATTCTGTTTGTTTTTCATTTCTTTCCTCTTGGTTGTCATGGTGACTGCTGGATGGACCATCTCCTGGCAAATCAACATCTTTATTCATGAAGCTAAACAAGGTACGCTGTGAAAAGAAAGAAATTTAAATTTTAAAACTTTTTTAGTGTAAATACATCGTCTTGGACAATAATAAGCATGTTTAAAGTATTTAAAGTAGAATGACAGGTGACAACCACCATTGCAGTGATATTCAGAATAATGACTGGAGACTTGAGAATTTCATTTTACCTGTGTCATGCCCTGATACATGAATGTGAGTTTACTCGCTGTTCTCACAAGTAAATCTTTGACTTTACTTCGATACAGACACCTGACAGTTTCTCTGATATCACCAGATAAGGAGCGCAATTTCTGGGCCACCCTTTCCAAATCCTCCTGCAATATAATAATAATAAATTTATTAGCAGGAGATTCATCATGTGTCATTGTTGGTTATTAAAATTGCATTAATTCCTAAGGATCTTGTGACAATCATGTGAAGTATTGATGACGATCTGAATTTGGGTGAATTACAGGAAGTATGTACTGAGCTGGAATGTAAGTAATGGGAGAGAAAACAACGAGGGATGGACCAATCCACAAAATCACAACAAAAATTTCCTGAATCTAACAGAGTTTAGATTTACAGATTCTAGCAACTGCATTTTAGATCAGGAAATGAAAGATTTGTAACCCAATTGTGTTATTTAAAACAGCACTAATTTTGTTAAATGGTTGCATATAATAATAGCTAGACCTGTATGCAAACAAGGCTGGTGATAGCAAATATGTTTGGGAGAAAATGGTATAAATCAACTGATGATGGGACAAAGTTCTCATATTTCTATTTTATTTCTCACTATGAATTAGCATATACTGTAGAATACTTTATTTTAGCTGGAAATAATTTTCACTGAAAAGACTTTTTAGGTGTTTTGTATGGAATTTATTAGTCCCCGTTCGGACGCAGTCCGAAAACGGGGACTTATGTTTTGCCCTGTGTGCGTCCGTCCGTCCGTGCGTCCGTGATCACCTGTATCTCGAACATGCATGGACCGATTAAGTTCAAACTTCACTCATACATCACACATTATATGGGACATATGCACATGCATTTTTTTCATGATTCGATTAACGATAGCCGAATAGCGGCCATTTTAAGGCCGAAAATGCATCAAAATCGCACATTTTCACCATTCCGGACCCGGATCTCAGTTATGCATGGACGGATTTTGTTCAAATTTGGTACATACATTAAAC